CAAATCAGGTGAACAGTGTAGGAATTACAACAGTTTGTATATGTGCCTCCCACTTTTTAAGGGACCAAAAGTAATGGGACAGATTAATAGTCATAAATCAAACTTTCACTTTTTAATACATGGTTGCAAATCCTTTGCAGTCAATTACAGCCTGAAGTCTGGAACGCATAGACATCACCAGACGCTGGGTTTCATCCCTGGTAATGCCCTGCCAAGCCTCTACTGCAACTGTCTTCAGTTCCTGATTGTTCTTGGGTCATTTTCCCTTCAGTTTTGTCTTTATCAAGTGAAAAGCATGCTCAATCGGATTCAGGTCAGGTGATTGACTTGGCCATTGCATAACATTCCACTTCTTTCCCTTAAAAAACTCTTTGGTTGCTTTTGCAGTATGCTTTGGGTCAGTGTCCATCTGCACTGTGAAGCGCCGTCCAATGAGTTCTGAAGCATTTGGCTGAATATGAGCAGATAATATTGCCCGAAACACTTCAGAATTCATCCTGCTGCTTTTTTCAGCAGTCACATCATCAATAAATACAAGAGAACCAGTTCCATTGGCAGCCATACATACCCACGCCATGACACTACCACCACCATGCTTCACTGATGAGGTGGTATGCTTTGGATCATGAGCAGTTCCTTTCCTTCTCCATACTCTTCTCTTCCCATCACTCTGGTACAAGTTGATCTTGGTCTCATCTGTCCATAGGATGTTGTTCCAGAACTGTGAAGGCATTTTTAGATGTTGTTTGGCAAACTCTAATCTGGCCTTCCTGTTTTTGAGGCTCACCAATGGTTTACATCTTGTGGTGAACCCTCTGTATTCACTCTGGTGAAGTCTTCTCTTGATTGTTGACTTTGATACACATACACCTACCTCCTGGAGAGTGTTCTTGATCTGGCCAACTGTTGTGAAGGGTGTTTTCTTCACCAGGGAAAGAATTCTTCAGTCATCCACCACAGTTGTTTTCCGTGGTCTTCCGGGTCTTTTGGTGTTGCTGAGCTCACCGGTGCGTTCTTTCTTTTTAAGGATGTTCCAAACAGTTGATTTGGCCACACCTGATGTTTTTGCTATCTCTCTGATGGGTTTGTTTTGTTTTTTCAGCCTAATGATGGCTTGCTTCACTGATAGTGACAGCTCTTTGGATCTCATATTGAGAGTTGACAGCAACAGATTCCAAATGCAAATAGCACACTTGAAATGAACTCTGGACCTTTTATCTGCTCCTTGTAAATGGGATAATGAGGGAATAACACACACCTGGCCATGGAACAGCTGAGCAGCCAATTGTCCCATTACTTTTGGTCCCTTGAAAAGTGGGAGGCACATATACAAACTGTTGTAATTCCTACACCGCTCACCTGATTTGGATGAAAATACCCTCAAATTAAAGCTGAAAGTCTGCAGTTAAAGCACATTTTGTTCATTTCATTTCAAATCCATTGCGGTGGTGTATAGAGCCAAAAAGATTAGAATTGTGTCGATGTCCCAATATTTATGGACCTGACCATATTAAAAACTGGGTAATAATTATTTGGAGGATATCAAGGTAAAATCTAAAGAATGTCTGGACAAAGGGGCAAGTAAAGGCATTTTAAATAACAAAGAATATATTTTTTTAAATGTAGAGTACCCAAAAGTTTATATTTTACACACGATTAATAAGGACAAAGAGAGCCCACTGGTACCACCTACTGTATCAGGGGTTGGTTCTCTTCTTTCACCCCTATCGCAATACATTGGTACATTGTCAAAAAATGTCTGGTGTATCTAAAAAATACTATCAGTTTATTACAAACTTTACAAGTTTTTGTTGGGAGGGAGGTTTTTTCAATGTCAATATACCATGTTAGCAGCCTACATACTAATATTCAACATAAAGGCTGTAAGGCAATAGGATACTTTTTAGAAAAATAAGGTGAGATTCTGGATACGCAAGGGTTAACTATTTTAATTAATTTAACATCTACCTACCACTGTGATATCTAAGCTTTTAACTTCCAGGATTTTACAAAGTCATGATGGAAAGTCATGAATTAATTAACACAAAGGCAAATATTAACCCTTCTCTTTTATTATAAATAATGTATTCTCACTATTATTTATTTATATATGGTCTTTATTTCTTTGACAAATTTATTTTTGTATGAATAATTTATTATATTGACATCTTCATATTTCCTATGTATTATACATTATATTTCTGAATATGTAATTTCAAGATATAATGCATTGTTTAGTTTCTGTTGCAGCTCAACTTTGAAGTTTGTATTTCATTGATTGTATCATCTTTTCTGAATATTTTTTTATGAGGGTATATCTTTGGTTTTCTTCACTTTGCTCCAGATGACAAAAAACATTTTTTTTTGTAAATATCTTTTTATTGAAATTTTTCAGGGTTTCAAAAAAGTAGAGTGCAAAGAAACGCGCAGGTTTCAGATTTAAAACATAATGATTGATCGGTCGAGATACGCAGATCTCCGATATAACAATAGAGAATGAGACACGCAGGTCTCGAGGCAAACTAAGCGCCCAACATATGAAACAAATTTGTGCAGCATCGATTCACACTAAAGGACCACTATAGGCACCCAGGCCACTTCAGCTTAATGAAGTGGTCTGGGTGCCAGGTCCAGCTAGGGTTAACCCTTTTTTTTTATAAACATAGCAGTTTCAGAGAAACTGCTATGTATATAAATGGGTTAATCCAGCCTCCAGTGGCTGTCTCTTGACAGCCGTTAGAGGCGCTTGTGTGCTTCTCACTGTGAAAATCACAGTGAGAAGACGCCAGCGTCCATAGGAAAGCATTGTAAATGCTTTCCTATGAGACTGGCTGAATGTGCACGCAGGTCCTGCCGCGCATGCGCATTCAGCCGACGAGGAGGAGAGGAGGAGGAGAGCTCCCTGCCCGGCGCTGGAGAAAGAGGTAAGTTTAACCCCTTCCTCCCCCCTCAGCGCCACGGGAGTATGTTTTCCTGGCACTATAGTGGTCCTTTAACAAATGAGAGGCACTTTCAATATGACCTATCTGTCTGCGGTTGATGTCTATCTACATCTACTCTCGCATGTTGTTTTTCAGGCATTGCAAACTACAGAGTATGGGCATGCTGATCTGACCCTCTATTGGTACTCGTGCTAGCATTACCCTGACAGGTCCGTTTGAGAGTGTCTGTAAGGGATACATGTGCCAATTGGCCTCGCAGGTCCTAGGTATCGTTTAATATCGATGGGGCAGGGGGTGCAGACAGTTATTGCTTGACATTTGTGCATGCATATCAAGGTATCTAGAGTCATGTCTTCGGTGTCTCTTTGTATGTGGTGACTATTTGGATGCATACTCAGAGATCAACCCTGTTTTTTCCCCCTGTGTATGCAGCGGGGAATAGGACTGCTCTTTGTCGCGGGCTCCGTTGGTCGTGGGCCTGGAATAGAGCTTTCAATTACCCAGGGCCTGTCTGTGTCCTTATTTGTGTCAGGGAGATTCATTTTGTGTGTGTGGTCTGTGTGTAGTTTTAAGGTCTGTTCGGCTTAGGTGTGCGAGTTGTAGGTCTCCCTTGGGTTGCGGTGTGTGTTCCCCTGACTGTCAGGCATTGGTTGTAGGTCCTTAGTGTATGTGCCAAGTGTAATCTCGGGGCTTGTATGTCTCTGAGTGTGTAGGTGCCTTCGGGGCCTCGGGGGTGTATTGCCAGGTCTCCCTGCCTCTTGGTCCTGTTTGTTCCTCATGTATGTGCATATTGTCATCCCTGGTGAGTCTAGTGTGATCCTGGAGGAGCCGTGTTCCCTTAACTTACATGTCGGGGGGGCCCTATACGTCGGGGCCCAGGTGTAACTGCACAGTACGTGGTGTTTAATCTCTACGTCCTGACTTGCTTGTAGCTCTGTTGCCTCCCCTGCTCTTTCTCCACCTCCCTCCCCATCTAAGCATCTAAGTTCTAGTGGTTGTTCCATCTAGTTGGTAGGTTATCTGCCCACCCTCCTATTGGGTGGGTGTGGTCCTTGTGGACCCATTTCGGTATCTGCATCTCATCATTGTATTGTGTGTCCACAGTGGTCTCTGTGGTCCGTTGTGTTCTGGTTGTGTGGCGTGCTGCCCCCCCTAAACCTGCAGCCAATCAATGAACTGTGTGTTGTCCCCTGGGCATTCCAAGCGGACAAAAAGCATTTGTTACTGCATTTGGATTTGACAATGTTGATTTTTGTTTCAGTTATGTTTGGATTTCAATTGGTTCCAGCATCAAAGAAAGAGGACTACAGAAGGTTTGTTCAGCCTTTTTCTTACCAGTGACATGTGATGGGTGTGATATCACTAGTATTTTCATAAATATTTTTGTATTGAAATTCATGTTATGTTAAAAATGTTTGCTGCTATTTGGGAGTGTGTTAAAGAAAATCATGAATCCATTATGATTTAGTAAAATCCTGGAACTGTTTCTGTTTCTCCTACTCCTCTGGTTCCGCCTCCTCCCTCATCTGGTCATCAATTTTGGGTTTAGGTTCTAACGCTAAATCTCCAATCTCAGCTACAAGGCAGTAATTTGGTGTATCTTTCTTAGCATTTCCCAATTCACCAATCAAGGATGATAAGGAGGCTTCCCTAGCTTGTGGTGCAGCTTTCAAAAATCAGTAGCATATTCTAGCCCTGAATCCTGGTCTGGTCCTTTCAAATTCTCTTTCTTTAGTCCTGCCATACAAACGTGTAATGTCATCTTCAATTTTGAACAAGTGAATGTAGGTTCAGTGTTAATGGGAGAGAAATATTACCAATATGTTATGGTGCACCATACAAAGCAACAGAAATAACCTCTAATCTATATAACCCTCCAAAAAAACTACTTATGATATGATCCATACCTATGGATATAATATTTAACAACACTGTATGAATGCCAGCTATGCTAGCTGGCTGCACAAATGAGCCAGATACTCTGACTGGCTAACACAAGGCAAACTATACTGTTCATGAAGAAACCTCACAAGGGAACAACACCATATAACTACTAATCAATCACCTGCCCCCACCAAAAAAAAACAAAAACATGGAAGGTCCTATCAAGCATCATAGCCTCCAAGATCAATGAGCATATGAGTCAGTTTATGAGAAATACTTAAAAGGAGATTATAAACAATACCAGAGGATCACAACATACCAACTACTGCTAGAACAAGCAGTCACATGGGATTCTACAGAGAGTAAGACAGATCCTAAATTCCCAGCTTAATGTCAAGAACAAGAGCCAAATCATTAACATATATGGTGTATCAGTCACCAGGTATCCAGCTGGAATAATAGCCTGTCCATGCATGTCAAAACCCAGAAAATACTCACTATGAATGGATGCGTTAACCTTAAATCCAACACCCAGAGACTTTACACCAGCCGAAAGGAAGGTTCTGATGATGAAACACAGAGCATCTACAAGTACATCACAAAGATGGCTCCAAAAGATAAACTGGTAACGGAATACCTGAGACAACAACAGATAGAGGATACATAAAATGTCCATGGTACCAGCCTCTCCATGGGTTGTGCGACCGGCAGATACCACTATATACTAAGCATTCCTGTATCCATATGTGTGGCATTGGGCTCAATCATGCCAATAGTTGGATAATGCAAGACTGAAAAACTGCACTGAGGCACTAAACCTATGGGCACAGGAACAGGCACTCAGCACCAGATCAATAAAAGTGGGGGTGGACCCAAGGTACAGACTGTGCAAAGAGCCAGTCCAGCACATAGTAGCCAGATGCAAATGTTAGCAACTTAGTGACCAGCAATGTATCTCTTGTAGGTAAAACTATTATGATATAGTGTATTCACTATTGGGATGAAGATAAGGACAAATTGCAACATATAAATGAATTACATATACAGAGCTGTCATGATAGCCCTCTATAAGAAATATCTGTATGAATAGTAATGTGTAAAGTGTTCCCACTTACTTGGGAATCAATCTTGGTGGAGCTGTGTGGATTGCAAGGCTAAATAGGACCCTGGAATGAGGCACCTGTGACAAGGAGAAGTGGAAAATCCAGGGAGATGGCATGGTCTCCCAAAACATATATGTGAAACCAAGAAGGCTGCACTAATTTCAACATGCATATATTATAAAGGTGCTGTTGGGACCAATTAACTTAACATACATAATCCAATGCACTCAATCACTAAGCACCAACTCAAAGCTCACAAAATATAATTTTGTTTTGTTTTTTTACAAACACCTGACTTGAGGGATGAGAAAGTAAATTTTATATTTATTTTATTTAATCTCTCGATTATTAGTTGTTAGGTGACACAGGCACTTCA